GCCACTTCCGGGCCCCCAGGCGGCCCTCCTCGGGCTGTGTTGGGAACAGGCCCAGGGAGGGGCTGGGCCGGGTTCTGGCCCGTGTTTAACCTTTCCCGGGACAGGCCCTGGGGCGGGAGCGGGGGCCTGCGGAGGGCTCTCGGCATCGTCAGCTTTGCTGTCTCAAAGCCTCACGTGACGAAGGAGCAGCAGAACCTCCGCTGTCCCCTGCAAACAGGAGCTCCGTTCAGGGCCCTTCCCACCGAACTGTCACTGTCGTTCCTGGATGTGCTGGGCTCCGTCCTGAGCGCTTGACACCTGGGGTCTCCAATCCGCCAGCAACCAGCGTGCGAGGTCAGGTTTCCTGACTCCTTGAGGACAATCCAGAGTCTTCCTCTGCTCCCTGTGGGCTCTGCCCGCCCCTCCGCAGCCTCCTGTCTCCCCTCCTTGTCTGCTTCAGCCACATCAGTCTTGTGGTTCCTCTAAAGCCCCAACCACAACCCCACCTCAGGGCCTTTGCACCTGCCATTCCTGCTGCCTGCAAAGCTCCTACCCCAGTGCTGCTCGGCTCCCTCCCTAGTTCCATTCAGGTCTCTGCCCAAAGGTCCCTTCCTCCTCTGTCCACTCTAAGCAGGGTGTCAGCCCTCCCCACCAGTCCCTCTCTGCTCCCCTCTCCCCACCACCCCCAGCCAGGCTTTCTCCTTCTCCAAGCCCTCCCAGCACTCGTCAGTATGTAGGGGGGTTACCTGTCCATCCATGTGCTGTCTGTGCCCTCCCAGCAGGTGTGAGCTTCACAGAGGAGAAACTGCTGGGCCGCCAGGCAGAGTCGTGCCCGGACACGCCTGGTCCTTGGTCACCATTCAGTAGATGCGCTGCAGCCGCGAGGACGAAGGGGCTCTGTGACTTTCCTTCAGTAGAAGAGTGAGGATAGGAAGGTGGGGGTCCCCCTGGCCTCATCTGACCCCCCTTCCAGGGCCATGGCCTTGGACTGACCATCCCTTGGAAAGGGTCCTGTGCGCCTAGGGGGACCTCTGATACTGCGGCCCCTCACCCTGGCCCCGTTGTCCCTAGGAGGGCCCCCCAGAGCCTGGTCATAAGGTTCTGTGTGACCAGGGAGAAATGGAAGCTTTATCTGCACTGAGTCCTGGGATGTGGCAGGGCCCCACCCCCAGTGACTACTAACCCGAGGTCCTGATGGTGCACACCTTTCAGGCACCTCTGGGTGAGCAGAGCAACAGCCCTGGGGGATGGCTATCAAACTGCTCTCACGCATGGTCATCTGGAATCCTGCAGGGAAGCGAGGGAGCTGGGTGTTAAGGGGAATAAAAGCTGATACGGGAACAAGGGTCACTTTAGCTGCACCTGCCACAAAACCATCCAACACCGTCACCTGCCCCCCACAGGGTAGCAGGGCTGAGATGCCAGCACTGAGTCCTCAGAGTGTGCACCTCTGAGGAGAAGTGATCATCCTGACCCACGGCTTCTGTTGGGTCTGAATAATTAACTGCAAACTATTCAGTGATCTGGGATGATTTTTCTGTTAAATGTCTGCCCAAACTGCTCTCCCTCTTCTGTGCCCAGGATGCTATTCCCTGAGTGCCACATGTCAGCCTGCTGCAGCCATAAATGTCATTGGCTGGTTCTGGGAACAGATGAAGCCACGGCCAGCCGGGCCTTGACTGTGGGTGTGGGGCTAGAGTCGGGCCCTTCTGTCCAGCAGATGCTGTTGGACACCCCGGTGGGCGACAAGACCAGCTCTCAGGACTGGCCAGGGAGTCTCTGTTGGGGTCCAAGGAGCCTCCTGAAATCCCCCCGAGGAGAACCACACGAGCACCTGCATGAGTACATGGGCTCGTGTGTGTTATCGCCATCGACCCTGTGGCCCTTGGAGGCGTTCCTTGACTAGACAGATTGCCTTTGGCCCTGGGCTTGCTGCTAGCGAAAAGAATCCATGGGGGAAAATTACATGATCCTGGTCCTGGAGAGGAAGGCAAGGCCACTGACCCATTTCACAGATGAGGAAACTGAGTCTTAGGGTGGCAGAGGAGCCACACTCCTACCCTGCCTCTGTGGCCAGCGGTCTGCCCATGAATGCTGAGACACTGGCCTTCAGAGCGGACTCAAGGCATCATTTCCAGGTTCTCCCAGCGGCCAGTTCTGGGAGGTGGGCTGAGTGACTCCGGCTTCTTTGTCTTGTTGGCCCTGGAGCCCAGCATGGGGCTGGCACATAGCAAGTGCTCAGAAATCACTTTTTGATGAATACATAAGGAACCAGAAATTGAGGGGGATTTGGTCTGAAAACGAGATGGCTGGGGACCACCTCCGTCCTTTGGGTCTGAAGGGCTGCCTGAGCAATAAGGATGAGCATTGGGGGTTGGGGGAGGACAGACGGGACATGGTATTTCCCTCCAGGTAAGAATGACGCTCCTGCCTTCAGAGCTTCTCAGCGCTGGAACCAGTGAGCCGGGCCAAGCCTCAGCCTGCTGAGCCCACTGGCGGCTGAATGTGGGGGAAGAAAGAAGACGGCCAAGCTGGACTCCGGGGGTGGGGCCTGAGGAAAAGACCAGCTGAGAGAGTGGGGATGCTGGTGAGAAAGAAGAGTTGGGAGAAGAACCGAGACTCCCTCTGTGGTCACTTCAGATTGTGATGCCTGGTGTCGCCATCTAAGGCAGTGTCAAGTCCCAAGTGGGGAAGGAAGCCAGGAGCTCGGGGACAAGGGCTGGGCCTCGGTTTCCTCAGCTGTCATGGAATTCCTCAGCTGGCTCTGGGTGCACTGAATAATATTCCATTGTCTGGACATATCCCCACATTTTATTTATCCAGTCAGTAGTTGATGGACATTCGTGCTTCCATTTTTTGGCCATTATCAATAATTCTGCCATGAACGTCTGTGCACAAGTTCTTGTTTGGACAAGTGTTTTTGGTTCTCTGGGGTTCATACCTAGGAGTGGAGTTTCTGGGTCATAGATAATGTAACATTTACCGTTTTGAAAACCTTTACCAAACTCTTTT